TATAGGTCATGCAGTCTCAGGATGGCCCAGAAGATGGCAACATGACCTCATGAAACGGTGCTGGGGCTGCTTCACGGACTCAGCCGCAAGGTGGCAGCGTTGCATCGTGCTCTGAGTTGAACAGGAGGCTGGAAATCCTGCATCCACTGCTTTGGCATTTGAAAAACATTTCTGCCCAGATTTCTGGGACTAACCTGTCAGAGGATACACTGTTTTACCTGAAACAACACAAGTCACATAGTGGATGCAGTTCTTAAACAGTCACCTCTAGAAGCCTAAGAAGGTGAAGCTTGCTTTTAAATCAACTAGGGAGGTGAGGCTTTTTGACTGGGCTTTTCGGATAGGATGACACAATCCATCTTTACGAATCCTTAGTGACTTAAGGTGGAGGGTGCTTGCAGGCGTCGAAGGTTTCGTAAGGTTCCTAAGGATTGGTAAGGCACAGGGCGCGGCAGTCCATTCGCCCAGGTGATGCCCCACCTGCCGGGCCGCGCTCACGCAGGGCTGCACGTTCCCGGGAGACTACCAGGGGCTCAGCCCTACCACAGTCTCCAGGTTTTTAACCAGACCTGGATATGTTTTTGTGGAGTCTCCCAAGTCTCCGATATTGGCAACTATTTCAAATAATTTACAGCAGGACAAACAAAACACAACTGAGAGCCAAATTCAACCTTCGCCTGCCAGCGAGCAGCTCCTGTGTTCCCGGAAGAGTTAGGAAGGGCAGGAGTCAGGCTGGGAGGGTCGCAGGGGAATGCCCGGGAGCTGGGACGGCAATATTTTGTTTTGCCTTTTCTCCTGCGAAAAGCAGGTTTAAATAATCTCTGGAACACTGGGTCACCGTTAAGAGAATGCAATTTTTTTTTTATTTTTTTTACAAAAGTGTTGTTTTCTTCGAAGAGAGCCCCCCAAGAAAGCATCCACTATTTGAATTTTTAAACAGTATTAAAACAACTGCTTAGATTATTTTTCTTGGCTTTCCTGGCAGAGGAATCATGCTTCTAACTTGTGCCATAGAAATATTTTCATAAACCATAATTGCCATAATATTTCTGTGTGACTCATTTCATTTTTTTTGTCTGTATTGGAGAGTTGTCATTTTTGCTGATTATTAAAGTAATACATGCCCCTTGGGGGCAGTAAGTAGGGGAGAACCTCAAATATTAGATAAACATTTATAAACTATAAAAAGTAACTAATGTCCCCTCACAATTCTCCCTTCCCCCATCACTGTGGCAACTTTCTGTATGATTTTACAGACTTTTCCTACGTGTATCAAAACATATCAATAGAGGATAAATATGCAAATCCAAGTTTTCATAGGTTTTTTTTTTTTTACAAACATATATAATACTGATTTGTAATCCACTTTTTCATATAATATCATCTCATGAGTTGATTTATTGATTATATTCTTCTTGGAAATTCTGATATAAAACAGTCCCAACAAATCTATGTTCAAACTGTAGCCCCACCATTTACTGGTATTGTCAGACAACACCCTAACCTGGTTTCTGTCTTCAATAGAAATATTTCTGGTATTTCACAATGAAGCACAGGCTGGCTTCAGTTTAATGTGTGTAATGTTTTCAACATGCTCAGAAAGTATTCAACTATTTCTATTGAAATAAAGGGATTAATTTTATTTAAAATCATGGATGGGCATCAATTCATTAAAATGCCATCTTGGCATCTGTTGAAATATTTATGGCTTTTTTTGAACTTTTAATATGGCAAATTATTTTAATGTATTTTTTATTAAGGATCTATTCTTACACCTTGGTACATATTTTCTTACATACCATATCATTTCTTATGTACCACATTTTTCTTACAATGTCCTGCTCAATTCTCTTTTATAGGATGTGAGATTTGTTCATAGTTTTATTTTTTTCTGTTTTTACGTAAACTCTCTAAGATTCAGTTTTATTGTTGTGCTGGTCTTATAAAAAGATTTTAGCTGTTTTTTCTTTTTTTCTGAAATATTTAAAATACCATCAGCAAAGTCTTATTTAATAATGTGAAAAGAATATTATGTCACTGGGCCTGATGATTTTTAGGATGAAGTTCTTTGACAACTTTCTTAATTTTTTAAATAAATTTCCTATAGAAATCAATCTCATCATAGCTCACTGCCTAGCTCACAGCAACCTTAAACTCCTGTGCTCAAACAATCCTCCTATCTCAGTAGGAGAAAGCTGGGACTATAGACATGCGCCAAAAGATTTCCACTGACTTCCGTAGAGCAAGAGGTCTAAGAGGCCAAGGCAGAAGCTGCAATATCCTTTATGGTTAAGTCTTGCAAGTTACACAATGCCACGTCTATAGTATCCTATTGGTCACACAGGCCAGGAATAATTCAGTATAAAAGGATGTATAGAAGAGTGTGAATACCAGAAGGTGAAGAATACTGGGGCCACCTTGGAAGCTAACCAACAGAGGTTTGCATTTGCTACAGTTCTCTGTATGTATATTATATGTCAACAAAACGTTTACTTGGAATAAATATTTATGAGTTAGAAATGCTATACAAATTAGAAACAACAGCAATGAGATGCACTAAGATGCCAAGTTCTTAAATATTTTTCTTCTTATCATGATAAAATGAAACTAATAAAAATTATGTACTCATCACAAGTACTTCTGAAAATTAGCAAGACAAATGTAAAGAACTCGGGATGAAGGGAACGTTAAAGATACTGGCAGAATTTGGAATGGTCATGCTGTGTAGGAATAAAAGTGTGCAGGCTTTGGAGGCAGGCTGCTGAACTTGAAGCTCGTCTTTTGTTGTTTTCTCTTGGGCAAATTACTTATGTTACTTAACTGCTGCTATGTGCCTCAGTTTCCTCATCTATAATATGGGGATAAAATAGTGCCTACCACATAGAAATCTTTTGAGGAGTATATAAGTTATTACTTTCATTAGGTTAATGGCTTTTTGGGAAGAAGTTGTAATATGAGCATGAAAACACAAACATTTATTGACAAATGAGAAAAGAATGATGACAGGGAGAAATTAAAAAAACAAATGGATGTGTTTTTCTTTTTTACAAAATTTGTGGAACATTATCAAGAAAACAAATCCTAAACACAGCAATTAAAGTTGAAAAATAGTTGAAAATTTTATCTTCAAAAGTATTCAACCCGATGGCTCTACCTCTGCGCTCATACCTCCACAGTACTTACTTGTTTATAAATATCCTTCACATTTGTTGCCTTACTGCCCTTTCAAACATTTTGAGAGTCAAGCAAGTGGGTGTATTTCTTATTTTACCAAGAAGGAAGGAGATGATCAGAGAAATTAAATCATTTGTCAACTATCGCATAGCCGAGAAGTCTTCAAGCCTGGACTCTGTTTAGTATCTTAGCATACTGCCTTCAGTAAAACAATGCCTATTTAGACTTAAATTGTCATAAAAAGTTAAATTTATATGCCGAACTCTGTATGTAAGGAAGGCAGCAAAATGCATATGCAATCTTAGAAAAATCTTGGGTAAAAGTTCATAGGCATTTAACACTTGTACTGTTCATTGAGAGGCAGTCTGGGACAATTCAGTTGCCGAAAGATTTCCAAGTTTAACTTTACCCAGTGACATTTTCGGGGAGAGAAGCTGAATGGTCAACGTAGACTGCTGACAGTTTACAAATTATACTTGAGTTGACTTAAAACTGTGACTCTTAAGGCCTGTCATTTCATGCTTGTAGAATGAGGTAAATTTAACAAGTCTCGGTTATTTCAGACCAGTAGAAAAATGCTATACTCTTAACACTATGCTCTTAAATTGTGCACAATCATCTCAGGTCTGGCAGAAAATCTGGGCTAGGGAAGGTATTTGTTTTACTCTTTTGATTTTCACGTAAGACCCGTTTTCCCTTTAAAATCTTGGGTGTTTTCCATTCTCAACCTCTCAGTTTTCTGACTTGCCTAAGACAAGCAACGGTTTCTGCATCCACGAAACCAAGCAAGTCCCAACCATGTTTACATTCTTTCCTGCATACTTCTTTGCCCAGCAGCGCCTCAGCCCCAAAGAGTGTTCAAGAGTAAACACCATTCTTTATATAGACTTGAAGAAGAGGTAACCCAAGCAAACAGCAAGGGGCTTGAAGCCTTTGAAAGCTAATATTTAGCAACCTCTTGTGTTCTTCGCTTTCAAAATATTTGTCTCTGGGAATAATGTGAGAATGAGTTTGTCAAGGGGAAGTCGAAGTGGACAAAACCCAACACTCCAGTGTTTCCCTCCATCAGCGCCTGGGTGGGGGCTGTGATGGGGCAGATCAGAGGGAGCACCTAGACCGCCTGCGCTTCCTTTACAAAAGACACAGCCTGTAGCCGGAGACTCAAACTCTGCACTTCAGCCACCTGAGGTAGAGGAAGGAGACCTTAAGGTTTCAGTCTGGAGAATTTAAAAAATTGGGGGAGATAAATAAAATTATGTGGCATCAAGACAAGGGTACAGGTTGCCAAATTTAAAGCTACTTTTCAATTTTGGTACTCAAATTCAATGTCTTTAAAGTAAAAATCTACCCTTGGATAACAAAAATAAATCCTTGCTACCAGATTTGTTTTTATTGAAAATGATATGTTGAATCGGTGGTTTAGGTTAAATGGATCATAAACGTTCCCATTTACATCAAATTTTAAATAACTTTAAAAATAGATGATAAAATGAGTCCAATAGAACACATTCTTTGAAACAAATTAAAGACTTATTAAAAGATTATTAAAGTCTATGTAAAGGGTTGAAAGATTCAAAATTACAACCAGATAGAGGCAGGTGGTCAATTATTTGCTTTGAAGTGCTAACTGAACTCAAACACGTTTTTATCATTACTCCTGACAGTGAAGAACCAAATGTTAGTTACATGTTCAAGAAGTGAGTTAATGGTCTTTCCAAGTTTAATATTATTTTAAAAATTAAAAGCAAACTTCACCTTAATTCATAGTTATTTTTACCACTAGAGATATAAGCCATTAAGTGGTATTTTGTAACCCAATAACTTACAATTATTTATTCACTCAACAGGTCTTTAATGAGCACCTATTATCTATCAGGTTTAGTGCAAGGCGTGTGGGTAGAGTATCAAACAAGGCAGATGCAGTTTCTTTCCTCATGGAGGTGAAAGTCTAATTAGGGAGGCACAAATAAGTAGAGAGCCACAAAACAGACAGTTAAATGCTAAGATGAGAGAATAAATGAATACACAGAAAGGTCCCAGCCCATCCTGGAGAATCATGGCAGAAGTGTACTACTATTATTCGGGCTATTGGTTGTTGGGAGCCCAAGTGAAGGATAAGGTGTTTTCATGTTTTAATACATTAACTGCCATGTGAGTTGTATTTAACTCACGTTAGTTTTGAGCCTGGGGCCTGGTGAAACATTTGTATTAATAACTCACACATCTCTTTACCTTGAGAGCCACGTGCAATGTAGGCAACTCACGCTGCCGTGCTGTGGCATACGTGTTATGTGATGCGTGACCCCTGGGCAGAACCCTGCAGTTGGTTTGTGAAAATCTTACCTGTTGATGTTCTTATTGTTAAAATTGATACTGACAATTTGATTGCATATAACTCAAACGCAGGAAACAGTAAAAAATAAATTTTTCATTAAATTAGAAAGAATCATTTTGTTTTCAAAATTTTTAATCTATTTTCATAATAAAATTACGTGGCCCCAAGGAAAAAAAATATTTTTTCACAGTGTAGCAATCAATGTGTTATTTTCTTCCTCAGAGGGGCTAATACCAACCTCACCATTAAGTAAACTCCGTGAACTAGTAAAAAGGCCTCCCCTTAGTGAGGAACTTCGTGCTGGTACACCATGGTTCTGTTTTAGACTAAGAGGCATGCTTAGATCTAAGCAGGAGGAGAGAACACAAAGAGAGATGTAGTCAGCTTCCAAAATGGATCAAGTTTGAGGGCTCTTTATCCCCATAGGCTCCTATCTGGGGCTGGGGAGTGGCACATTTCAGATGTCCCTGCCCATAGGGGAATGGAGAGTCAGCTCCATTCAGGGTGATCAATAAGAATATGATGGAACAAGGAAGCAGATTTATCTCAGCTTCAGTGTGACTCAATGAAGACTAAGAGTCTGTTGAGCATGGGATAGCCAGTAGCTGGGGGGATGGGAAACATTGACAGTAGGGAGAAGGTAGAAAGGTCTAGACTGTATACAAGGAGGTTTTCAAGAGCCATGCAGAGAGTTACTGTAATGATCACCTTACTGAGGTTTGGTGGATTCCTCAGTCCGGCCCAGGAAAAGCTAGCCAGCAAGGATCATTTAAGAGCCCTTGGGAATCTTTGGAGAAGATGGGATGGCCTGTGGAAGGAAGAGAACAAGGCACTGATCAAGAAGCCGTTTAACTCCATTCTAGTTTAGTTGTGTTTCTGCTTATATGTCATCAAACATAGCTTTTAAAAAGTTTGAAAACTTCAGATCTGGTTGTCAAGATTATATATCTGAACTTTGTTATCTAGTAGCTGTGAATCCTTTTAGTATTCTCTTGTGAAAATTTAGATCGTAACACCTACCTCATGGGGCTGTGGTGAGGATTATACAAGTGGAAGCATTTAAAATGTTTAACAAATGCCAGAAAGGCCACCATGTATGGTTGTGCAGATTGGGCATTGCAAAACTCCAGGTAGGAGTCTACTTAAGGGTAGGTAAATTGGGTAGGTAATTTACCTACTACTAAGGGTAGGTAAATTGTTGAATTATAAAGTTTAAAATCTGTATGTCCATATATGTTGGCTCTGGCAGGCATGTTGTAAAACAGTGATATGTGGTGCCCAGCGTGATGATGAGAAGGCAGAAACCTCGATATAGGAGTAGAGTAAACACAGTGAAAAGAGAGAAGACCGCTTCAGTGTGGGTGTCGGGGAGCACAGAGATGGCTGGGGCACAGCCCAGACACCCCAGTCTTAGCTAGAGCAATACAAGGAAACCCAGGCCTCATCGGCTGGTGCATCTGAGCCCAGCTCAAGAACTGGGTAGGATGGAGCTACTCTGGTGATCCTCTATATTGAGGGGCCTTTAGTGCTTCCCTCTAGGGAAACTTCTGCTAATTTTCCCTTTAGGAAAAGTGTGGCAGTCATCAGTGATTTTGTCGAGCTTTCAACCCCTAACAGACAAGAGTTATATGGAATTGAAAGCTGGGACAGTGCATTTTTGACTTTGTGGAGGAAACCCAGACACAGAAGGTGACTCTTGTGAACCCAACGTCAGCAGGTTAGCGCTGCCGCTCAGATCAGAGGTATCAGAGAGCTGCTATGCTCATGAGCACTTTGTGGTCAACGCTGGCAGGTTACCAAGGCAACGGGTAGCAGATACATTAGGTCCTTGCCTAATAACCTGGCTTCTTTTGCAAGGATCAGCAGGGTTTCTCTTGCAAAGTTCCTATTTCAACAAATTATTTCACTTCCAGAACAAGTTCACAATGAAAGCGAGGATAAAAGATTAAAAGGAAACTCACAACTAAGATAAACTCACAGGCTATTTTGTACATTTTGGGGTCAAAGAAAACACACCATTAATTTATCTGAGATGGTAGAAAAAGAAATAAGATATATGTGCTGCTTCAATCACAGCTCATTTTTCATTCTAATATCAGCTTCCACTCCACTGGGCTTTCACACAAAAAGTTAGAAATGAAACATCACTCTTGCAGAGGCACTGATACTGCGTGTGCACGTGCATGTGCGCTCCTGTGTTTAAAATGCTAACCAGCCGTGATCGTTTGAAAGTTAGCCTGACCTTCCAAGATTATAAGACCTTGAAAAGCAGAATCTTTACAAAAGTGTTCTTTAAAAAGAAACAATCATCTTAGTTTTGTTACCATAAAATGACCTTAGATTTGATGCAGTTGAACATCTTTATTTAAAAATATGAAAATATGAGACCCAGAAAGGAGAAGAAACCGTTGTCTCATCAGGGTATAAGAGTTGTTGGAAGGCAATTCTCCACAGGTTTCTTGAATTTCTGCACATCTTGTAAGGAGAAGCATTGACTGCCTTCATTCTGTACTATCGTTGCAAGGATGTTTGCTCTATAAAGGGCCTTGGAAGAAAGAGATAGTATCTCCTCTGGAGCGCAGGACAGAGGTGCTAACTCCTCACCATAAAAGAGTTGAGCTCCCCCAGCTCGGAGTTTCTCTGCTGTAACGCAAGTCACCCGTGTGCATGCGGCCATCCGTCCCATCTGCACTGGCCCATGTGTTGGGGCAAACGAGGGAAACTGATGCAAATATGCTGTGACCATGCTGCTTGCTGTGCTGTAATAGTCTTTGGTCTCTGGGCCAGGAGTCTTGTGTTTTCTGCCAGCATCTGTGAAACTGTGGTAGGTGAATTTGTTAACTTACAAGGAGGATGAAATCTCAGACCTTTTGCCATTGTTGATGAGAGCGAGGGCTCAAAGCAGGAATTTTAATTCATGATCAGTGCTGTGAAATTTTCACTATTGGATAAGTGGTTTTCAAACTGGTGTTACTCCTGAGGAATAGTTCCTACATGAGTGAAACACACAAACACACACACACACACACACACACACACACACACATACAAAGGTCAAGCCTCGAAAAGGACACAAATGACGTGATTCTATAGAGAAACTAAGACATTTTCAAGCTCATCCTAATGCCTTAGGTTGCAAACAAAGAGAGAAATTGATTCATGCCACGTGCCTGGTAATGTTCCCAGGATTTTCTGTTAGGAATTGAAAATCAGGAGCTTGTACTGCTTCATACCCACAGAACTGCTATATTTCACTTTATTTCTGTGAAGAGTGTCTATGGTTTATTTCTCCTTTTCCCATGCTTACAGTAAGAACTCATTCTCATGTATCTTTAAATCAAATTCTTTTGAGGTCATTTTTCTCTTTTTCTGCTCCTAAGGACATATTTCTGTCCCATTGTTCCGCCTAGCAGCGTTTATTCTGAGTGTTTGTGGTTTTCACTGTCGACTGCACCATTGCTGCTCGGGGTCCGAAGGCTTCCTTGCTCTCTATTCCCCTGAGCGCATCTGCCGTAAATCCTGTGGACTTCATTTGCCTTTTATCCTCTCTAACGTGCTGCTTGGTATGCAGAGCAGCAGAACGGAGGCCTCTCCATTTCACCACCTTCATGCTGTCTGCTCCAACAGGGACGCACCCTTTTATCAACCTGCCTCGCGGCTAGACTCCCCCAACCCCTCACCTCCCCCCTGGGCAGGGAGGTTTAGCTCGGGAGATCTAACTCTTGAGAGAACAAGAAAATCAGAGCTGCCAGGCTGAGGAAAACAAGAGCTCTTGAGGCGATTGCAAGGATCTTCTAGGAATAATGAGAGAAGATTGGATTGTGCACAGGCGACCGGACTCCTTGGCATTCGAGAAACATCTTAGTCAGGGAGCACACACCGGCCCAGGCTAATAAACACTTAAGCCACAGTTTCAAGAACAGGCAATAATTCAGGCTCTTGTACCCAAAAGTAAAATCATACTGATGATCATTAGTGTTGGAATCTCTTCTGACCTTTGAAATCCATTTTCGAACAAGAGCACACTTTTTATTTTTTCTGCCTCCCTTGGCTCTCTGCAGGGACATGAACATTTCATAAACAGAAAGAAAACGCAGGATTACAGATGATGTTACAGCATGGCCACGGGTGCCTCAGAATACAGCTTTTACATACGCCAGGAATATTCCATGGAAAAAGAAGGTAGTTACTTTTTATATGTGGTAGTAATTTTATTCGTTTTAAATGTGACTTTTCTCCCCAAAGGATTATCCATTCTTTCTTGGCAAGGAGAATGTTTTATATATATGTAGTTTTCTAAACCTTCCTGCTATCTCCTTTTGCAAAAAGGAAGCTTAATAGATATTGTTAGCCTGGAAAATCCTGTAGGATACAGCACAGGGTCTCCCAGGGTAGCCCTGACAAGGTACATTGAGGAACATTTTGCTTGCTCCTTAAGGACACTCCCACCTTCTTTTTTGTGGGATAGATAGAATGTTCTGGGAAAGCAGGGCAACGGGGTGCCCCAGGGGTTGCACACAACAGCAAGCCCTGGAGACACAGGTCTCCTGGAACCGCAGGGTCTCCTGTTGAGACTGGATCCTCTGAGAGTCTCCCTACATCCCATTGCCTCAGCCGCCCATCACTTGCAAGTCTAACCATGATCCACAGGGCCACAGTTCTCCGGGTACCTCTTTTCTGCTTCCAGTGACAACACTGTCACGTCAGGATCATCTCTCAATATGTGCATTGATGCTTACCTTGAAGGTGCAGGCCTCCTTCTCCCCTTTCCATTGTTTGCCCCCCATCAAGGAGAGTGTGTTAGAATTTTGAGGGAAACTCCCACTGTCTGTGTTCCTGCCCTCCACCATCAGCGCACGCGCACACACACACACACACACAATGTGCTACTGAATTTCAGGCATTTCTGAGAGTGAGCCTGAGGTTATTCAGGACTCCAGTGCGTAGCCTGGGATCATGATGGCCTCTCTTCCTCACCCTTCCTGGGTAAAACCTCTTGCATGTAATCTTATGGAATCATCTGTTTGGGAAGGAATGCATGGGTTATGGTTTCATTTATTCCTCTTTGTCCAGATGAGAAATGATTTAAGCTACATCTCAGGGGGACACAGCATCATCTCTAGAAGGTCCTTGAGAGAAAGTGGATTATGTAAGAGCTGTCTACTTTATTAGAGCACTTGAGCTGGAATACTAGCATGTCCCAAACATTGCTGAAGGAATGTGTAAACTCCATGAGAAATTAATCCCTAGAACACGGTCTGCATTTCATCCTTATAATCCCACGGTTCTATGTCTAAGGCAACTAGGGACATGGAACAGCATCAAACAAATTTTATAATAAAGAAAATCTCCCTCGGTTTACCACAATCTCTTTGGCCACCAAACCCTGTTCCTCCTTTTCTGGACATCCTGGCGATAGACAAGCCTGGCCTGCCTTCTCTTCTCAGAAATCCTCACGCTTGTGAAGTGGGCCCCTTCTCTTTCTTTGTGTGGTTCCAATTTTTCCTCTGTTTACCAGCTTGCGTGAGCTCCATGCCTTGTACTCGGCCTCTGGGTCCCTTTGCCAGAGATTGACAACACTTCTAGAGTCAGGGAGAGACATTCATCATAAAAAAGAAACTCTGTATTGGGAACTTTAGACTCGATTACAGGCAAGAGATAAGGGATTTCAACAGGAAACCCTAGAACCATTGCATAAAAATGTTACTTGGGTAAATCCTGCACAATTAGTCCCCCATAGTGTACACACAGGCATCCCTGTGGACTACTTCCCCTTTGCTTTGGTCCTTGCATGCATGGCTGCTAACG